CGGTGTGACGGTGTCCTCGCGATGTTTAATAGTTTAAAATTCATATTTACGCGGACGAAGTCGCGGGCAACATCTAGCTACTACTAAATACACTAAAGATTTCTTTAAATTCTTAGATGCTATGAGTTCACGAGATGTTCAGTTAATCGAGTCGAGTCCGCCAACTCGAGTATTTTGTTTAAAATAAGAAACCATAGATTACCAGTAAATAAAAGCTTCCTGTCCCATCCTAACAGAATCCTACAAAACAAACAATTTAGACCTAATTTATTAATAGAATCGCGTTGTTATCACACTGTTCGAATCCTGCGCAAATATATTGAAGGTCGTTTACCATAATATCCTACTTACATATCAAACTATACACAACCAGTATTAATTGACCTATGAATGTGCAGAAAGATCATACAAAGCTAGAGCATGATATACTGGTTCTGTATAGCTCCATAAACACATAAATAACATGAAGCCTTTTATTCCCGAAAGGGTAGGCAGAGAAGTACATTACGGCACTTAATGCCACTGCACACTGTAACACCCACTTTTCACTATTTATGTTATGAGTCCCATGTAATAGGGGGTTAGACTATTGCCATATACCGGGCACATTACCAGATTCAGTGCTACTACTGGGATTTTTCTAAGAAAAATATGGTTCACGAAATAAAAAAGTCATGAATATAGCTTGAATTAAACTTAATATGTCAAATGAGGTATCCAATAAATCCAAAAGTAACGTACTTTTGAAAGAACAAACCCCGTAACTTTTATAAACCATAACAAAAATTCTTTCATAAACCACATCGGCAATAGTGATAGTTTTATTTTCGAACTGATTTATAATTATATTGTTTACGTATGTATATTTATTAGATACATTATAATATTATATTACGATTAGTAATGGACCTCAGCCTATCTTTTCTGAGAATATAGGGTATGAGGTTATGTTTTGTATATAAGTATGTTTGAATGTATGTATATTAAAATAATCATTATATATTTTTTTTTCTATTGCATACTGATAAATATTTGTAATTATAGAAATAAGATGTGCTTTTGTAAAAATTATATTTAGACCTCCTCTCGCCTGCGATACAGGATTGTCCTAGTGCAGGCATCAACTATTTGAGGTCAATTGTACTTAATTTAGATATATTTTCGAATTTTGCATTTTTGTTATTATGAATAAAGTTTTATTATTATTACATTTCAAAAAACCATTTTTGATCTCTGTCAATTAAATAATAATATACTCAAGCCTTCTACAAAGAGTAACAAACACTATTTTGAAAACCGCTCGACCGCTTGACTTGAAAAAAACTTGAAAACATATACATACATACAGTACAGGTCAATCTCAGAACCTCCTTTTTTGAAGTCAGTTGTTGTCAATTAAAAACGTTTGTGTGACTACATGGAAATAGCAAGTAGTTTGTAATCTAACAAGAATGATAATAATGGTCCTTAACTGATCATTCTCCGAGCGATCACCAGTGACCATTATCTACTAACTCCAATATAGACTTTGTTTCCTATAATTAGAAACTACTTTTGTATGAACAAATTTTAAGGAAATATATCCAGTGATTAACCAAAACAGGTTGAGAGCCGCTGACCAAGTCATAGTTAAAATAATTAATTTTTAACTAAGGAAATTCCAATTTAACTTAAGAAAATAAAAACAAGGAAGATCTGTACAGTTGTAATCATAGTAGTTCTCGCTTCTCAGTTAATTAATTAGTGTGCGGAGTCCGTTCTATTTGGATCAATTAGAGGGTACAACAACAAGTCAATCTTCGACTTGTTGTTATACATAAACTAGTAGCATTTAGTACATTTTCTTATACCTTTTATATTATAGAACACATTTTAACCCATATATAAGCGGTCACCGGTGACCGCTTGGGGATTATAGACCTTATTTCCAATGTTTAGTGACTACTTTTGTATGAACAAATTTAGGGGATGATTTTCAACAATTTTTAACCGGTTAAAACCACCTGAAGGTAGACAAGAAAGAATATCTGTGGCATTATGTCCACCTATGTGTCTATATGGTGGAATAAGTATAAATAAATAACATAACATAACATCACGCCTTTTATCCTCAAAGGGGTAGGCAGAGGTGCACTTTATACTAATGTAATTGGGTAGTTTCCAGGGTATTAAAATTAAAAATCTAATTAGTCCGTTAGTTACATATTGAAAAAATATTAGACACGTATTTTTTTATTTTCTCGTATTAAGTTGCAATACTTAGATAAAATAGTGCTAAGTTTAGGAGTCCCACTCCTAAACGGCGGTCGTTACGTCATAACGTGCTACAAAATGTGACACGCTGTGACGTCACACGATATTTCAAATTAATATATTGTCGAAAGTATTTAATTTTGTGAGAAAATAAAAAATACGTGTCTAAAGTTTTAAATTAATGTACCAGACGGGCATTAAAATAAAATTGAGAAAACTAGGGAATCTTACATAATTTACTAAAAACAATATAATATGACAGGATGTCAGTGATAGTTATAGTACAAATCCAGCATAAAAAGATTAACACAACATGCCTTTTACTTTTTTATTTTTAACCTTTTAGTTTATAAAGGACTTTTAGTTTAAATAGACAGTAGTAACAAAAATTTTCCGCTATTACCTATATAGCACATAATTTCACACCAAATCACTGAGGTATCGATATTTTTTTTTAATGTTGCCCCACATTAGTTATTTCTCCTGTATCGTAAGTGCGTTTACAAATATACAAGTTCACATATACGTGACCAGGAACAACAACCTGTGGATCACACAAAGATTTGTTTCGTGCGGGAATCGAAACCGCGACACGTTGTGTGGCAGCCAGCTGCCCAGCCACCGCGTCAACCAGTCAAATATTGTATCAATAATGTTATTTCTTTTAATTTTTTTAATCTGTGTAACACACTGTCTCTGCGTCGTTATTTGTATTCCTGCCACAGGTCCACAGGAAGAAATTCCAGTTGGAATATGCGGGATCTATGTATTTCGTTTTTATACATGTGTTATCTTTTGTGTTGTACGTGTATGTACATAAGTAATAAATAAATAAAACAAATTCTAATTAGCAATGGCTATTTGCTTGGGTAAACAAATAAAGTAAGGTAAATAAATAGTCGCTTTCATCTATTACTGGTACGTAACAAGACCAGACAAATCTGTTAACTTCCTCCACTGTATAAATTGTACCGCATTTACTTTGATTAGAGCCAATTAGCTGGAGTGTGGGAGAGATTGATTTGTAGCCATACTGATTTCATTGGTGGTTATAATAGATTTCAGAACTAAAACAATGTGTTTTATAACTTAAAATGAGTTTTTAGTTGAATTAGAAATTATTTATGGTAATAAGTAATTAATAAGTTATAGTCTTTATAAGTTATTTAGATGTGAACTTATTAAAATATTGTTTATATAAGACTTATATAAGACGATAGAAAACATTGTGTGCATCTTAATTTTTATTTTAAAATTTATATGACACGTTTTTATAAATGACCAGATTTAGTATTTTTACTTTTGATTTTATAATAAGTATTTTCAATAAGAAATATAACAGTAAGCCTTTTTAAGCAATTTTGAAACAGTTCTACTACTGCCCAGCAGTTATTCAGAAAAAAAAAACAAATCACCCACATTTAGTAATTGGCATTCCATAGTCTCTGCCTACCCCCATGCAAAATAGGCGTGAGGCTATGTATGTATATTGTATATACTAACAAAATTGGAATAAATATACATTTCTTCATAGTTTTTATTTTATCCAGCAATTAGACATAACTTAAATATCTTCTGATTTATTTTGTTGCAAGAACCAATACAGTTATTCATGTCCCTGGGATGCGCTCTGGGACTGCAGTGTTCTGGTAATTTCATGGTTGTATCTATTGTAGATCTTGGCTGACAGGAGTTGCAGCAGTTTTGGGAGGTTGTGGGGGCTCGTCCCATAAAAAAACTAGACATAACCTTTATGTAGTTTAACTCGTCGAGTACCGGTTTTGTAGACACAATTATAGAACAATAGGTTGCGGTCACCGGTGACCGCTTGGTGTTTGACAGTTTAATAGTATATTCTTTTGTGATATAATATTAGAAGGTTACACATTATTTATTATTTTTTAAGGTAGGTAATTAATTCAGTACATCATGTAATGAAGTGGGTGATTCAAAAAAATAGTTTTTTACTATACTATGTTTTTATAGTAATACTATTACTACCGAGTAGTAGTTATAGTAAACTTAATAGTAATAATACTACAATATACATTACAATAATTATTATTTTAAGAGTACCCACAAATGAAGATATGTACTTTGAGAAAGTTTAAATTCCTTGTCTAAGAGTTATGGATCGTGTTAGATATGAATTTTTAACTTTTATAAGTTACATGTTGGGTTAATAAACTTACTAAGTTATTTAGGTACATAACCTCCAGACAACTAAGTATAAGTTATTCTGAAGGTAGTGCCACCTTTTTGATAAAACAAATGTTTAGAAAGGAATAGTTGACCTTTAAAACATTGCTGGGATTATTATTAGGACAAATTGACTCTAACAAGAACATACGAAAGAAATCTTATGAGAATACCGCTAAAATAAAAAGTTTTGCTCTTTTGAAACTACCTACCAAAGTTTGGATGTTCCAATAAGATTCGTAATGGTATGCAAGGTCATTAAGTTGATATTACCACGTAACACCGTTATCAAGCCAATAACACAAAATAACCCCCCTTACAATTAAAAACAAGCAAAAACATTAAAAATTTTGTCGACAAAATAATCGACAATTGTAACAAATAACTTCATTTTATATTCACGGTCGCCCCCGAAAGGTCACAAAACGACCAAAATACACAGAGATGAATATTTTATAATTATTCTATTATTGCTATCATGGTATGAATGAATTTGAGTTTTTCGAAGCACCGTCTGATATGAACAAACATTTACAATATTATCTTACCCTTATCGTACGCCTCCGCCACTCAAAAGATAACAGCACATAATCACAATAATATCACTCAGAGATTAAAAATGGATTTAAATGCGATAATTCGAGAAAAAACACAAAAACTTTGATTTCTAATGACACACGGCGAAGCGAAGTCACCTCGCATGAAGGCGCGCCACTGCGGTGTTGCCACTCGACAATTGCGTTTTCCCAATAACAAACGTCAAGCCATACCAAAATAATTTATTTCTACTGAATACAAAACAAATTTACACACCATAAAAAATCCAATAGCGAAAATGAATAAAATATCAACGTTTTGGTTTTCTGGACAAGTTAGACGACTTTTTGTCACACTTTCGGCAGTAAGTTGCACAAGGATTTGATTGAATCCGACGACACCACTCTTCGCTGGGTAACGCGTTGTTAATTTGTGAAAAACACTGCTTGATTGGATTTTTAGCCATGCGCAATCGATAAGGGTACTCCATTAATAATGCCATAATTACCGGTACTTTATCTCCTAATATTTTTTCTCTAATTCGTTGAATGTCCGTCCGTAGTGATTTTGTAGACCTCATTGAAATAGGTTTTACTTTTGATTTCTTGTACGTCTTTCTTCTTGTCACTTGTTCAAACTTGTGTTTGGATTTTGGACTAAAATTCAATTTTGCATTTGATTCTTCTGAAGAATCAGAAGATCCCCAACCCAAGTCCCTGCTCTTGAAACTTTGATTTCCCATATTATTTATTTATGAGTATGAGGATATTCAAGACAAACAATTTTGAGAGTTACAAAATAAACAACATAATTATCTTGACATTGCTTTTTTCATAATAGATACTTTCGATTTGTCAAAGTTTTGCAGCCAGTATTACCTACTACTCTGCTTGTCTTTTATATGGACACCAAACTTCAACCTTTTTGGAAGACTTTTGTCTATCATCTTTGGGCAAGAATTTAATGATAACTTCTTGCAGTTTTGGTGTTCGGTCACTTGATAGTTGATAGGCAGCCGATACTAATTAATGATTTAATGCCACATAATGCAACAACACAGTGATACACAGATATCGCAACAAGTACTACTTTATCTCACAAATTAATTAAAATTAGGTTATCTGAAAGATCAATACGATTATCACAGTTGTATTTTCTGCGGGATAGACAGACTTAAGTTGAATTTGAATATTTGTTTTCCGACCTTGAACGACTGTTACCTTAGACATGACATTGTTATAGTTGTTAGAGCGAGGCCCCATATGTCCGTTGCACTGCATTGCGTCGCGACAACCTAAGGTGGTGTGATAGGGCATGTCATGTAAAAAAATATATAGAAAACGACGCTGCGACGACGCAATGGACAAATAAGGCCTCGCTCTTATCGGTAGGTATACATAACACCGATTTCCTCGGTTTTCGTTTCAATTGACTACACTGCCTACTACTATATTTGCAAGATAAGGTCTGAGGAGAAGTTACAGGCCTGTCTACTGTAGGTATACATCTTGAAGAGACCGAGAAGTACCTACCACACCATCCTCTTACAGAATACTAGAGTCATGCCGTGTATGAAAGATAAGCGAGAGTTCCGGATACCGAACCCGCTGTTTACCAGTATGGTATAACTTACTTTAGGTGAACTGCTGTTGCCGAAAACATGGCGCAATTAATAGTTTTCTATGCATTGTGTTTGTGATGTCTCTGGTGCTGCAGGTCGAAGTACTTATCCACCCAGTCGAGAAATTAGATGGGTTTTTGGCAACACCGCAAAAGCCTCATTCATTCTTTGGTAGGTACACAATGCTGACACAACTTGTCCAAAGAGGATAATATCGTTTTTTTTGTATCGCAAAATCAAAGAGTGTAACAAGTATAACTTAAAATGGACTTCCCTCGTCGTGGGATCGATGGTGGGGGGATGACTCTTATCGGCTAAAACACCTCCGCTGTATTTGTGACAGCTCTTACAATGTTACCGGCCCTTGGAGGGTAGTTTAGGTGCGTGTGGCGTGTACAGTGCGTGTAGATACAAAAAGCATGTTCGCAGAAGGAAGTACTTAACTCATAACTTGCTATCGGGAAATAATATGAAAGAAACGCTAATATTGTTATCTGAAAAATACGTACGTACTTACTTTATTCATCTACCACAGAATACTAGTCCTACAGAATAAAAGATTTAGGTAAGTACAAAACTACAAAGGTACATCATAAAATCCTGAAACTGGCCTGAAGTGAGGCAATAGGGTAGTATCCTAAATTTTATTTTAATGTCCGTCTGGTACATTAATTTAAAACTTTAGACACGTATTTTTTCCCCCCTAAATTAAAATACTTTCGACAATATATTAATTTGAAATATCGTTTGACGTCACAGTGTGTCACATTTTGTAGCACGTTATGACGTAACGACCTCCCACTCCTAAACTTAGCGCCACCTTATATAAGTATTGCAACTTAATACGAGAAAATAAAAAAAAGTGTCTAAAACGCCATGCGGTATGCAGCAATGCAGCCCTCCCGCTCGCGTTCAAGCGCACACGCAGAAGGCAATACAAAAGATAATAATTATTTTTACATCTTCAATTTGAATTTGATTTCTCCATCGCCAGATAAATTTTATCGGAGAAAAAAAAGAGGATGGCTCTGTACGGCTAAAATCCCCGTGGGTCGTGGGATTGTTTATTTTTTAAAACCACGAAAATAAATACCTTTCTCAATAAATATTCTGATGACATCTATTTTACAGTGCTACAGACTAATTCAAAAGTCCAAAGTCTGTCAAAAGTCATTATTCTACGCAGGCGAAGTCGCGGGTGACAGCTAGACAAAAGAATAATTTTGAATATTTAATTAGTATTCCATACCTACTTAGAACAGTCAAATATCAATTTTACAGTTAAAAATGATCCGTCAGAAAAATAGATCCGTCAGAAAATCCGAATAATTCGTCAGAAAAGAGTAATTTAAGTGTGGGAGAGCCATGTTTCGGTTCGACCGGAATGATACGACGGCCTCACAGAAAACCGACGTGAAGCAACGCTTGCGTTGTGTTTCGTCGTGTGAGTGAGGTTACCGGAGGCCCAATTACCTTCCCCTTCCCCAATCAAAGTCAAAGTCAAAGCATTTATTTCAATTAAACCCTAGTTTGGTACTATTGAAACGTCAACAAATACAAAATAAATAATAGTCTGTCAGTCAGTACGTCAGTGAAATTAGGTGAAGCTAGGTGCTCATTCCAAAATGTAGATTCGAATGGAGAAGGACGAACAAGAAACTCCATTCGTTACTTTATTCGTTAATTTCCCCAATCCCTGAATCCCCAACGATCCTCAAACTCCTAATCCCCAAAAAGCTGGTGACGCACTTGTAACGCCTCTGGTGTTCCAGGTGTCCATGTGCGACGCCGATTGCTTACCATCAGGTGATCCGTCTGCTCGTTTACCGGCTTATGCCATAAAAAAAATCATTTTCTTTCGATATCAAAAAAGTAGGTACTTATTCGTACGTAGGTAGCTTGCATGTAGAAAGTTCATGATTAATTACCTAACAGGTAATAATCTGGTGATCAACAAGTACTAATCCGTTAAATATGTATTAAAGTAATAATTACTATAAATAACAAACCTAATTATTGGCTCACGTTATCAAATGATCTCGGTGTATTAGATAATTCGTACGTGCGTGATTGTCAATGCACATTATCGGATACAACACAATTACGTTACTGGACTTTTATACAGGGGGCCAACACTTTATTAGGCCTTTTAGAATTATTATTACAGATGTCTTAGAGTATCGACTGCCTCGTTGGTCGTTGGCCGAGTGGTCGCAAGACGGCCGGGTCGGGCAAAGTATTACTGGGTTTTTAAAAAAATCTCAGTTGTAGCACGGAATCCGGAATTGTGCCCGGTATATGGTTATAGGCTCACCTCCTATTACATGGGACTCATAACATAAATAGTGAAAAGTGGGTGTTACATTGTACAGTGGCGTAATGCGCACCTCTGCCTACACCTTCGGGGATAAAAGGCGTGATGTTATGTTATGTTATTACAGAAGATGTCATATATACTCCTCTTTCAGTACCTACTTACGTAAGATCTTGCTTTTATGTATCTCTCGAGAGGACAGTGTACCTACCTAATTTTAAGTACCTAACAACTTAAAATAACTATGTACATTATCATCTATTTTTCACTCGTGTGTTTACAAAGGAGTAATAGGGAACACGTTCACAATCATAGTCACAAAATGTTGTAAGATCTCACCGAATATTTCTCCAATAATGGAGCTCGGAACGGTAGAACAAATTAGATAATCAAAAATCGGTCATCATGAAATCGCAAAATAACATGAGTTGGTATTTAAACACTCTGTATAGTTAAGCAGTCTTCATGGATAAACTAGTACGATGGGTATATAGTCTTACCCTGTCCGCAGTCTGGTGTACTCCACTGGGTCAGAACACAGCAATGGCTTCTGTCGCATACTTGTTCCTAGCTATCTTAGCTGTTGGTACGTATTACAGCCGAATTTAAATTAGTAACATTAACCTTATTTTGCTCAAAGATAATTGAATTTCTCGAGTTCTTAGTTGGGTAATATTTTAAGATGGATGGTGTGTTAATAAATTCAATAACTATCGTGACTTCGTGAGACAAACTAAATGAATATAATAGTTTACCTACGTCAAGTGACTGAGAAAAGCTCTAGATACTACCTACCTACATAGTTTGAAGTTACAACGGAATTCTTATTATTCATGCGTAGTGTCGATGCAAGTTGGTGCACATTTAGCTAGTCTGAAGACTGACAGACAGATAAATATCTGACCAATGTATTAACTGTAACTTAAAGGCACACTACTTTAAATTAACGACTCTAGTTTTGTAGAAACCGTCATTTGGATAAGGTTTTAAGAAATAGTAAACTAATATGTGAAACTACTAATAGTAAACTAAATCGTAGGCCGCATAATCGCTTACCACCAGGCGGGATAGTGGCAAACCGTGGGCCCACCATATAAACAAAAAAAAAAGAAGTGTTGATGGGAAGAGTTGGTCCACACACATTATACATACATAGGTACTTATACTTACAAATAGGCAGGTACGTACATATTGTAGATATCTAGGTTAGGTATCATTATGATGTCGGTTTCTGCCTGTAGGTATTTATAAAAAAGCTGGTGGCAATTAGGTGTAATACATTAATTTCTCTATCTATATTTAAGCTTCGGCAGCACCAGAGGGCCGGATCGTGGGAGGTGAACATGTGACGATCCAGGAGTTCCCCTACGCAGTCGCGTACACCTACCTGTACCCTGGACCTGGCATCACTGTGCAGCGCTGTGTCGGCAGTTTGATCTCCTCCTTCCATGTCCTCACTTCCGCCTTCTGTTTCACGTAAGTAGTATTATAGACAACATACTATGCTAGCTTGTGCCCGCGTAGTGACTCTAAGCAGATAATGTTTGTTCAGTTTCTAAAACAAGGCTTTTTTTAGCTAGTAAGTTTCATTCTAATCTGTCCTTTAGTTCTGGAGATCGCAAACGGACAAAATACAAATGGTTTTCTTTTTACGTAATTAGGTACATACATTATGTGATTGCACGGTTGGCGCGGTGGCTGAGTCGTCTTCTGCGTAACGTGTAGCAAGCTCTATTCTTGCATCAGTGACACGAAGCCACTCTATGTGATCCACAAATTCCTGTTCCGTGTTTGGGTGTCATGCCTATATGACATTGTATGTTTGTAAAGGCACCCACAACACAAATCCCAGTCAGAGGCAAAGTATAAAAAAATAATTCTCCAAATTTCAACAGTGGCGCCAATTTGGATAACATGAGAATTCGTGCGGGCTCTACGAACAGTCTCTCTGGCGGAACAGTGGTGGAAATCGACCACGTTGTGAAGAACCCTGGCTACGTAGAAACTCCTCGAGCGCATGATATTGCAGTGACCTTCCTGAAAACTCCACTTGGCATTAGCAACGTCATTAATGTCCTGTTCTTGCCTCCCCCCAACTCTTACATTGCTGACGGTCAATCTGTTAAGGTTGTAAGCTGGGGATTCGAATCTGTGAGTACAATTATTTATTTTAATGTTAACAAAATACCTATGAGACGTAAATCCTTCTTTCGTAATCCTTATTTCTCCTATTATAAAGTCCCAAAGTCTATCTAGAATGGTATATAGAATTAATTAAACCCGGGAATATACAGAAATCAGTGGGACATTTTAAATTGAATTCTATTGAACATAGGCAGTTGAAAATGTTTGTTACTGACGAAGTAGTCACATTATAATAAATATGTAGATATAGGTAATATAATCATTTGCTCACTACTGTTTTGTTTGAAGTTTGACTAAAGTGTTAAATAAATAAAAAAGGCCCCAGCAGTCTCCAAGCAGTCTCAAATGGAACTGATAACATTACGGCAATTCCAACAATGATAAATGTGATTTCTTTAGATTTCAACCTTATGGGTTTTGTAATAAAGCTAAAAAATTAACGAAAATGTTGACTTAACGACCGATTTCTTTTACTAATAGATAACAGTTAAAGTAGTCCAATAGGGTAGATGCCTAATTTTTATTTTAATGTCCGCCTGGTAGAAAATTTTAAATCATTAGACACGTATTTTTTATTTTCTGACAGAAACGAATACTTTCGACGATATAGGTACCTATTGATTGAAATGTCGCGTGACGTCACTTCTAAGTGCATTTTATACGCAGAAATGACGTTTTAGCCCCCACTCCTAACTTTGATTCGCTTTATCTAAGTATTGTTTTATAAAAAAATACGTGTCTAATATTTTTTCATTACCTAACTTACGTACTAATTAGATTTTTAATTTTCATACCCTGTCATCATCCCAATTGTAATTCCAATAATCAAGATGTTCGCTATTTTTATCACTATCATCATCATCAAGGAAGTTTAAAAGGATCGAAACGAGACCGCGCTCCGTTGGTTCATTGGAGCCGGCCAATCAGAATCCGAACGTGTGCCCGTTTCGATTATTTTAAACGTAAAACAAACTCTAAAGCCCTCAGGTTTATTCAAAAGGGCCTAAACCCAATCCAGGTTTTTGTTAAACTTGTAGTCACTTATTCGGGAAGAGATTTTTACTCTATCATCGCCACTCTGGTTATGATGTTATGATTCAGATCTTACTCCTTATTAAACTGTCAAACACCAAGCGGTCACCGGTGACCGCAACCTATTGTTCTACCTCTATAATTGTGTCTATAATGACGGTACTCGACGAGTTAAAAAAAAATCATTTAATATTAACTCCTACGTTTAACAATAACAGGAGAGCGGACCTCAACTAGAAACCCTGAAGACCGTGTTCCTGAACAAGCTCAGTCTTGCTGACTGCCAGGCAGTGTATGGAGACACAGACAGCGTTGAAATTTCTGATGGTGAGTCAGTAAGAACTACCTACCTCGTTGGCCGAGTGGTCGGTTTTTAACAAATCTCAGTAGTAGCACAGAGTCTGGAATTGTGCTCGGTATATGGCAATAGGCTCATCCCCTATTACATGGGACTCATAACATAAATAGTGAAAAGTAGGTGTTACATTTTACAGTGGCATTCAGTGCCGTAATGTGCACCTCTGCCTACCTCTTCGGGGATAAAAAGCGTGATGTTATGTTACGTATTACTGTCATTACGGACGAAACAACATATTATTTACCTACTGAAGTTAAATATATAAATTTATAGAATATTGTAAGATCAAGAACCACCTTTTTATAAATGATTCGACATGCATAGAGGCTAAAAATTTCCATGCACATGATAGAGTTGATCTTATATATTTTTTACTCACTTGATTTATTTTTTCTATTCTAGCCGTGATCTGCGCAGCTGCGGCCGGTAAGGGTATGTGCTTGGGCGACTCTGGTGCACCCATGGTGATCAATAACGCTGTCGTAGGATCCTCATCTTTCTTCAAGGGTTGCCTTGATGACGAGTTCCCGGATATCTTCACCAGGGTCGACAGATACACCAACTGGATCCTAGAGGTGGCTGCATCTGGTGGCCGCAAGGCTGAGATAAGGGTAGCCTCTAGCTTGTAAAGTTTGCAAGATTACTAACCAATTAAGTCTGATAAAAAGTCAACTGTGTTTTGGAAATTATTACTTTTAAAAGTATCAAAATTACGTGATCTGGTTTTACTTACCTATAGCTGTATATTAGCAGCATGTATACTTTTAAGCAATATGAATTATATATTTTAAGAATACTGTTTTGTTTTATTCAGTCGCTAAGTTCGTTCAAATTAAGCGCGCGCCTTAATGAGCCATCAGACCACCACAGATGGGGCGCGGAGGTCTTAACGGGTTGCCGGGGCTCCGGCTCGAAGTGCAGAAGTAGGAACGGGGTGGTTTTTAGTCAGTAAGAGTCTGATCTGACACTCCCTCTCATCCCACACGGGCGGGAGAAGTCATTGAATGATTTTCACCCTCAAAAAAAGATTGAAAAATAAAATTCTTACACCATTGAAGAAAAACATAGTAAAAAGCCGTGTGACAAGATGGCTTCTTCTGAATTTCTTTACTGCGAACTCAAAGGGAAACAATTCACAATAAAACAGCAACAAATTAAATAAAAATATTTATTGAGTAAATCTCTCTTAAACTATCGTTATACATTCGGATCTACAGATCAGATGAACGGAATGGAGCCTTCTTTGGATATACTTTTATACAATTATTTTATTTTGTTATTCATTTTTTACAATCTTGGATAAGGCAAGACAATGTTTACACACAAGGCACATCGATTATTGCAATTTCTTAGAACTAATTAGACTATAATACGGTTTCAATTAACCATAATAATATGTTGCGAAAAACCGACGGTTTATAATGATTTTAAAGCCAGATATGGATAGAAAAATAAAGGTATTTTGGTCAATTAATTTCATTAATTGGAGAACAATATTATAATTCATATTTAAAGAGATTCTAGCTGTTTAGTTCAGTTTCATTATCCATAATTTAAGTACACAATAAAGATAGTTTTACATAATATCATTGGAAAGTTAAATATAAGGTGCTCTATAATTATCTGCCACGGCTTTAATGGGAGGTAGTGTTATGTTTACAGATTACAATTGTGAAGAAATTTCGTACCCCGGCCCAGTTAATTACATAAAGTAATTAAGTAAACATTGACTACATTCTGCATAATGTGGTTCACAAATTACGCGCGATGCGTCGCTTAGTCAATGAAAACAATTGCTATCTCTTTCCACGTGTACTGAGAATGAAAACGGAAATCAGCTGACTAGTTCGTCACTATCTAATCTACTAGATACTCAATAGGCAGGCTAACAAGGGTTTTAAAAGTGCAATTACTTACCAGGTACGGCATTCTTCCGAAAAGCTGATGTAGGTAAATACGATTATAAACTTCCCATCACACTTAAAACAGTTTTTTACACACTTTTACAGTTATTTACACACTCTCTACCTACTTATCTACAAAACTGTTGCACAAGTCCACCTTCGCGTTGCACACAAATGAAGGCACGCTTCCAAACATGTCATATCACATTATTTAATGTGTCCGTTTCACTTTTACTTTATTTCGCGTTTGATTTAAAAGACGCCACAAGTTATTGTCTCTATCATCGTAAACTCCGGCAGTATCCCTTGTGCTCGCAAGAGGATGACACCGAAAGAACTCTAACACTTCCTCTTCGAGTTCTGATTTGAATTTCGTCGCCTGGGAGGCATTTTTACGTAGCGCGCGCGTATCTCCGACATTGAAACTAACGAACGTCCGGGCAGGCGGGGGTTGACGGGGCTACTGGCGGCCGGGCGGCGTGTGCGACGTGTTCTGCTGGGGTGTGCTGTCTCGTTCTTGAACGCCCCGTCATACGCTGTTGCCATCCTTATCAGACCGCTCAGCGCCGGGCGGCTTGGAGCACGCTGCACACCCCCGCGCGCCCGCACCCTCTCCTGCACTCGTCGCACGCGCTGGTCAACCGGCCGCCGGGCAGGCGGGGGTTGAGCTACTGATAAGGATGGCAACAGCGTATGACGGGGCGTTCAAGAACGAGACAGCACACCCCAGCAGAACACGTCGCACGCGCCGCCCGGCCGCCAGTAGCCCCGTCAACCCCCGCCTGCCCGGACGTTCGTTAGTTTCAATGTCGGAGATACGCGCGCGCTACGTAAAAATGCCTCCCAGGCGACGAAATTCAAATCAGAACTCGAAGAGGAAGTGTTAGAGTTCTTTCGGTGTCATCCTCTTGCGAGCACAAGGGATACTGCCGGAGTTTACGATGATAGAGACAATAACTTGTGGCGTCTTTTAAATCAAACGCGAAATAAAGTAAAAGTGAAACGGACACATTAAATAATGTGATATGACATGTTTGGAAGCGTGCCTTCATTTGTGTGCAACGTGAAGGTGGGCTTGTGCAACAGTTTTGTAGATAAGTAGGTAGAGAGTGTGTAAATAACTGTAAAAGTGTGTAAAAAACTGTTTTAAGTGTGATGGGAAGTTTATAATCTTATTTACCTACATCAGCTTTTCGGAAGAATGCCGTACCTGGTAAGTAATTGCACTTTTAAAACCCTTGTTAGCCTGCCTATTGAGTATCTAGTAGATTAGATAGTGACGAACTAATCAGCTGATTTCCGTTTTCATTCTCAGTACACGTGGAAAGAGATAGCAATTGTTTTCATTGACTAAGCGACGCATCGCGCGTAATTTGTGAACGACATTATGCAGAATGTAGTCAATGTTTACTTAATTACTTTATGTAATTAACTGGTCCGGGGTACGAAATTTCTTCACAATTGTAATCTGTAAACATAACACTACTTCCCATTAAAGCCGTGGCAGATAATTATAGAGCACCTTATATATGTTTTTAGAAGACACAATGGACGACAATGGATACAACAATTCATAATATCTACACACTAAAACTTTACTACACACATAAAAAACTATACAAGAACATTGTAATCAATAACTAAGTCTATATATCGGCAAAAAATTGATTACTCGTCAGAATTAGCTACCATATCGGTACATAAGATTATGAATCTTAATTCTAAAGGTAATTTTCCAAACTCGGTGGTCCAAATTTAATATTACTGATATAAATACATTCCTAATCAGTGTTATAGTAGAATAATTTTATAATCAGTCACCATAATTATCTAGTAAATGGGTAAGTTAATTGTTATTCTATTTTTTATAGTTAATTACTCTTAAAATTAACTGGACTTATTGCATTTCATATGGAAGGGTATCGTTTATAGTATTTTGTATATGTAGGTATGTAATGTACCGTGAAATCCATTTCGACTTCGTCCCGAAGTAAAATGGTTCCGTCTTGGTAATACAATAGTTTTACAAAGAAATAAAAAGGTTAAAACAATAAATAAGTGGTGTAAAAACCAAACTTTGAAAGCGCATACGACCTCACAGTAAATTATCAAAACATCACGGTATTGTAATTGGGTAGTTTCCAGGGTATCAAAATTAAATATCTATAGTCCGTCAGTTAGATAATGAAAAAATATTAGACACGTATTTTTTTATTTTCTCGTATTAAGTTGCAATACTTAGATAAAATAGCGCTAAGTTTAGGAGTGGGAGGTCGTTACGTCATAACGTGCTACAAAATGTGGCACGCTATGACGTCACACGATATTTCAAATTAATATATCGTCGAAAGTATTTCATTTTGTGAGAAGAAAAATACGTGTCTAAAGTTTTAAATTAACTCGTCGAGTACCGGTTTTGTAGACACAATTATAGAACAATAGGTTGCGGTCACCGGTGACCGCTTGGTGTTTGACAGTTTAATGTACCAGACGGGCATTTAAATAAAATTTAGGAAACTATGTACCCTATTCTCGAAGAGGTATTTCTCGTTGGGTGGCACGTGGCATGCGAATAGTGCCCATAAATTAACGTCTAGTCTTTCATATGCGTATTACCATGAAAGTTGTTTTTAAATAGAAAAAAGTACATCTATATTTTTTGTTTCTACTTTATACATCGAAAGTATTCCTTATGGCAAGTTGTTTTCGGAGTCACGGAGAACCTAACGGGTTACCGAGGCTCCGGCTCGAAGCGCAGGAGTAGGAACGGGGTGGTTTTTAGTCGGTAAGAGTCTGACACTCCCTCCCGCCTCACCCAAGCGGGAACTTCGATGATTTCCCCCCTTAAAAAATGGCAAGTTGTTTTGCCGCGAGATGAAAACGAAATAGATTTCACGGTGTATCGATTAATTCTATAAACATTTATTTGCTGTGTCAAGTAACATTTTTAATGTATATGGACATTTATTGTGTATGAATCAACAGCGATTGTCTGTTATCGACAATATTTTGTAAAGTAACTATCTTATATAAAAATCTCATAATTCAATTAATAATAACAATAAGTACCCTAATTCTTGGATTTTCCTACCATACAGTGTACTCTATATTTCTAAAAACTGTCTAATTTAGTCTTAAATCTAAATAACTGCCTGAAATTATGACTAAGTTTTAGACTTTTAAGGTAGCTTAATAAAGTAATATTTACATAATATCATAGAGATTCATTCACAACAGTTTTTTAGGAAGATTCTGGGTTTTATGAGCATACATTTTTATTAAGTAAATTATTTAAGTAACAAATAGAAGAAAACGTCCAAATACTATATTAAATACTGAGCAAGAGTGTGTAATAATTTTGTTACTTCTAAAATCGTGTAAATGTGCATAAATTATTATTTACGACTTACCCGATCAGTTTCAAGGTATACCGGAGTTCATAATGGCTACGTAACATCATTCGCCGTGCATGAAGTGATAGAAACTAGACAAACATCGTATCACGTAAGTCGTAAATTCAGTATTGAAGATGACAGTTGTCACTATGCGAATTTCACTATATTTTGCAAATTGTTTGAAGTTCTGAACAAAAAATCTTATTACTAGCTTCATAATCATGTTTAACTGTTTGATGAGGTAACTCGACCAGTCCCAAGCCACGCTAGTAGCTAGCTCATATCATGAGCAGCATTGCTAATTCGAGTTAACTCGCCACGTCACATAATTAATTTATATTATGTCTCACAAAAATTATATAGGTACAAAATAGCAATAGCTGTACTCTAGATTTTAAATATTGTAAATACAAAATTTTAATACACAATTATCTTTACCATTCACGGGACCACAGGGTCCCGGTCATTTGGGAGGCTTACGAAGGGGCCGAAGCCAACTGCGCAGAGGCCCTTTAGACAACTTTAATATAAATGTAATGGACACACAAACCGGCGACTATCCCTGTATGCACTATGGAAATGCACACAAGGACAGTCCCCGGTTAGTGTAGAACTGTATAGTGGATAATGAAAAAAAAAAGGTAGGGCTATGGATTGGTTGCTGTGGACTGGTAAATTGGGAACTATGGATGACTATGGCAACTGCCGAAACAAATACATAATTATTATTATTACACTATCTTCTGCCCGCGTTCCCGTGGAATAAAAAGGAATAAAAAATAGCCTATTTTTCATATCCCTGTTCCGATATATCATCTCGATACCTTAAGCCGTTTTGACGCGATTGAGTAATAAACATACACATCTCTATATATATAAAAGAAGGTCATGTTAGTTACACTATTTATAATTCAAAAACGGCTAAATCGATTTGTATGAAAATTGGTGGGGTTTAGAACCAGGAGACGGACATAGGACTTTTTATACAATACCTTTTTTACTGTTTACCGATAATCGCGAACGGGAATGGAAAAAATACGGCTTTGTGCGTACGAAATCGCGGGCAGAAACTAGTTTAGTATATTAGTAGTATACTAAGATGCATCTTGGAATTAATTATTGAGTTATTGAGCAAGGAGTTACATTAGCTGCCGCTTATTGCTTAGACTTTCTGTAAATAACTGGCGTTATATCAGATCTCAGTATTTACACAATTCTATGAATATTGGTTTTCAAGAAGTTTAATTTTATATTTTAACCGATTTGCTAATACAAGGGTGCTTAATCTTGAAACCAATCTCAATGTCAATGCAATTTCAATCCAATAAAATCTCAATAATGATTCAATGTCAAAATTGTACCACCCCTTTCGTAGCTTTTGAAATAGCATTCAGAGTACAGAATGTTAAGCTAAACTCAATACCATTTAGTTCATTCAATATCCACGCAATACGGATGCAATGGTCGCTATAGTTGCAACTCAAGAGTCCGAAATTTTACAATACCAATGTCGATCGATCGGATTTGGATTCAAGAGTAAGCCTCAAGGTTTCTTTCCATTTTTGAAAGGACTTATAAATTTCTATTTGAAAAAAAAGCAACATTTTACCGTTATAATTACTTATGTATATATTGCATAATAGAAGTATTGACAATTGTATATAATTAATTATTATTTATATTTATATGTAATCCTAATTTAGATATTCATTATTAAAGCTATACTTTTCACGGTTACCATGTGTTTAAAGTATTATTTCGCTATGTAAAGGCGAGTCTCTTGCATATAATGCGTATTTCATTATATTCTGTATGTATGTATTTCATATAACATATATTTGTCATTTGTTCCATCAGATAAGAAATTAAAGACTAATTCAGCACAGGAGTAACCATAACTACTGAGCCAATCAAGGTTTGTACAAGATTTGGCTTAATAAAATACGTGTCTAATATAAATCATTATGTTTTCGGCTTACTCACGTAATGATTTGACGAGGAACTCGACTAGTTTCAAGCCATGCTAGAGGCTCATATTCGGTATGTAACACTATTTTTGCGTCGACCCGGGGTTCGCACCCAGGACCAATGCAGCTGCCGGCGAGTCTAGCGTGCTAACAGTGTCACGCGCGCCGCCGTCGCCGATACCACGAGTGGAGCTGCGTGCGCGGGGACCGGCAGAGGGCGCGCCGGGCAGACTCGAGTAGCCAGTAGCGACAGTCGCCGCGTCGCGGGTCGCGAAATGCTGCTCATGAATATGAACCTCTAGCATGGCTTGAAACTAGTCAAGTTCCTCGTCAAATTATTACGTGAGTAAGCCGAAAACATAATAATTTATTTAGTATATCTCACGAAAGGTACAATACAAATATACGTGTCTAATATGTTTTAATTTCCTACCTGACGGGCAAATTTTTTAGATTCTTAATTTTCATACCCCGTATCATCCCTATTACACTGGGTGTATTCTCCCTACCTTCCTATGTCTTCTACCTGTCTTAATTCACATATTGTAAGATTCGTTACTCTACTATCTTTTTAAAGACGTTATATAAATTTTATTAGTTGAGCTCAGTGGTAAATTCTAACTGGACATTTGCAACATGAATGATATTAGGTTTATTTTGGCATGACATTAAAATATTTAAGAATATGAAATCAATGTAATGTTTTGTCTAAAATCTTCCTTTTCCAGGAAGATAGGTAACATTAAAATATTATTATTAAGAGGACGACTTATGCCCGGTTCCTATAATTGAGAAACGATCCGTTTTAGTTACGAATAGTAGTTTTATATACGAGGCGTAAGCCAAAACCGTTCCTATAAAAAACGTCTCGTTGTACAACTTACGGACGGCTTGCAACTAACGGATGAGAGGGTACCGGTAAGTGTTTTGTATAGAGATGAGAGTCTATGGTGTTCCTATAAATATTTTAACCGTCCGTAGACTGTCAAGATAACTATTCGTAATGTCATTTGGTTACCTGCCGATGTCGGTCGGTTAGAATAGAATTTTTAAAGTAAGTTCGCTATTTTTGCGTTTATCGCTTTTAAATTTTAAAATGTCGAGTTCAGATAGTGATAGAGAAATGTTTGATATTATATCAAACTCCAGTTACACTGATTCGGAAGAAGATAATAGGCGTGCTACAATTTATAAAGAAAGAGTGAAGTGAGATTTCGACTCGATAAAGAATCTACTGAACAGTTACTTCTTAAAATTTATCCACATATAAGGGTAAAAGGATCCAGGTTAGTATTTTGGAGGCATTAGTGAGTATTGTACACCCTATAAAAATATAACATACTTAACTAAAAATAAATTGAAATTATATAAATTGAAATTTAATTTTACCACCACTCCTAAACCCCTTAACTCGTCGAGTACCGGTTTTGTAGACACAATTATAGAACAATAGGTTGCGGTCACCGGTGACCGCTTGGTGTTTGACAGTTTAATATCCATTTCAAACAATGAGTTGATTTCACACAGGTATCGTATTTAACAGCGTAAATTTATAGAAAACAGAAGTGGTAGAAGAATTGAAATTTGAAATTTTGAAATTTTATCTGTTTGACAGATGTCAAGCGCGCGCGCTTGATTGTCACAACGTTCCATTCCTTTAGTGTAAGCTGTGTTCAATTATGTTTGGGAAGTAAAAAAAACTCATCACGCAAATGCCAGCGATGGTTTAGTTAGTTACACATCTTATAAAACTAATTAAGGTTAATTTGTATGTAAATCTAACTCATTTTATCTTAAATGTTGTGTTATTTTGAGTTTAAATTTTGCTTATAACGAAACGCACGTTTGTCGCAGACATGTTGAACATCTGGAGTCAAGAGGGCTCGGTATTTTTATAACCAACGGACGTTCGTCAAAAGCAGGTAAAGAATATAAATTGTGGAACACTATTTACGACTCGTTGTTGGTACTCGAAAAACGAATAGTAGTTCGTATACCACGACGATTCGTTAAATATAGGAACCGGGCATTAGTCGTTAGTATTATAAAATTGATTAAAATTAATGTTATATCATTTTATTAGGATAACGGCGAGTCAGTTACCTTGTTTAATTCAAAGGCACAATTGCTCAATTGTTTTTAGTTAATTTATAGACAAAAAATTAATTTCGCTTCCATTACGATAAACTGTTTTCTATCATGGGAAACTGATAAAAAAGGAGTTACTCAATATGAGTGACAACTACATAATATTTGAGATTATAATATTAATCAATTAATTAAAAAAACAAATACTAGTTACTTTATACGGAGATTATCGATACAGAACATTTCATTTATTATGTTTTCAGCTTACACACATAACTGTTTCGCGAGAAACTCGACTAGTCGCGGAATGCTGCTCATGAATATGAGCCTCTAGCACGGCTTGAAACTAGTCGAGTTTCTTGTCAAACAGTTACACGAGTAACCCGTGATTTTTAGTTAATTTAGTATCACGATAGTTACTATAAAAATCAGAATATATTATTACCGTCGTATTTTTAAAATGTTTCATTTGTTTGGATCAAATTTAATGATAGGAATTTTACCCTCTTCTTAACAACAGGTCGATCTGATATTTGGTACACACTTTTACGGCCAAAAATTAATACCTTATCTCAATCTGAAATCTGTCTATTTGTCTTGATCATCAAACAATAATACAATCTATTTTCAATTATTTTTGTCTGATATCCACCCAATATGGATATCAGACAAATATATATATTAAAAAAAATTATGAATTACTTGTCTAAGATTATTTAGACACCACTGACAAACGGTGAAGGAAAACATCGTGCGGAAACCTGGGCTTATAATTTCTAATTACAAGTTTGAAATCGCCAATCCGCATTGAGCAAGTGTGGTGGTTAATGCTCAAACCCTCTTCATGTGAGATGAGGCCTGTTAGCGATGTGTAATTATGGTATAATCCGATTGGTGGTGCCGGTAGTTAGCGCTGTATTAGGTTTAACTTGTGATTCTGATTTGAGACGCTACTGACGAGTGTGACGTGCGTGGACTGGCTTTGGCATACGGGCAACGACTGGTTTGCGTAGCCGCGGGGCGCTCGGAGCTCGAAACTCCGCACGGCATAGAGAAAGTATGCCGTGCACGTATCACCGCGGCCGTCCGGTGACAATGTCGGGGCCGTAACAGGCCTTTAGTTAGTGGCCACTTATAGGCTGTTGATGATGTAGGCTGTTGATGATTACTTCTTTAGCGGTGTACTGGATTAATACCTGTCAGAAGCAGTCTGTCTCAGCGGCAGACTGAGGGCCCTGCGTCAGTGGGCCCGGTCCGGTAGTACCGTGAGAGTGACGCTGGTGCCCGAGTGCTTGATCAGCGCGACGACCTCAGGGTGCGGCAGGTTACGGATGGACACGTGGTTGATACCAACGATGGTGTCGCCCACGTGCAGTAGACCGCAACGAGCGGCCGGTGAGTTCGGGATCAGTTGGCCTGTAATTGTTTTAAAGTATGGTTTTTTAAAGGTTATTTTTGAGGTAGTGCGATGGCGTTCATATCTTAATTATCATGTTTTCGACTTACTCACGTAACTTTGAAGAGGAACTTGACTAGTTTCAATGTACGGGAGTATGCCGAAAATATAATAATTAAGTGTCTCACGAAAGTTATAAGGCTTTAGTATCGTTAGTAAAAGGTAAACGATTAAATGGTTATTTATTTATTTCAATTAAATGGTATAACATTACAGTCAGAAAAAAAATCATAACAAAACAGAAAAGTCTTTAAATATTATCGTTAGTACAAAGTATCTGGATCGTACTTTATTTTTAATAGAAATTCCTTACAACAAGCGCCAGACATCGACTTCAATACACAAATTTTGTAAGTACTTTTACTATGACGTGAAAAACGCTAGTTTTCTTTGAATTTTATTTTGCACGAAATTCGTAGTTGTGACGTCATAACTGTTCTGAATATTAGTGCTCATGAATATGAGCCTCTAGCATGGCTTGAAACTAGTCGAGTTCCTCGTCAAACAGTTAAGTGAGAAAGCCAAAATCATAATCATTATTAATGATTCATTAATATTACAAACATAATTTACAAACACTTACCGATAGTACTAGTAGCTTTGTTAGCGGAGGAGATAACCACGAAACCGAATCCTTCGCCCTCGTTCCTAGTGACTGTGACGTCATAGGGCACGGACGACCATCCACCGGCCGTCGTGTCATATTGCACGCCGTACCTGGACATATATATTAACATAACATAACATCACGCCTTTTATCTTTGAAAGGGTAGGCAGAGGTGCACATTATACTACTACACAATGTAATAAAACTAACAGTATATTAGCGCTATCTATGAAGAGAATGTTTGAGTTAGAGGATCGTTGGGGATTTAGGAATTGGAGAGATTGGGGAAGGGGAGGGTAATTGGGCCTCCGGTAACCTCAGTCACACGACGAAACACAACGCAAGCGTTGCTTCACGTCGGTTTTCTGTTAGGCCGTGGTATCATTCCGGTTGAGCCAGCCGATTCGTGTCGAAGCGTGGCTCTTCCACACTAAAATGCTCAATAGAACGCTTTTTAGCATATTTTAGAGCATATTGTAATAGCCCTATAGGCTATTTTTTATCCTACGGGAACGCGGGCGTAGCCGCTGGCCAAAGCTAGTAATAGTATATGAAACGAACTGCTACCAACTCAACGGTCACCTGTCAAGAGATTTCTGATTCAACACCTAATAGTAATATTAAAATGTATACTCACATAGGTACATTGGCCGGAGCTGGGTACATGGGCGCCGGGTGCAATATGTTGTACGAGCCCGGCGGCATACCGTGGTGCATGGCCGGCTCCGCGCTGTGGAATACATTACTAACATAAATAAAAATAACATAACATCACGCCTTTTACCCCGATGGGATAACCCACTTTTCACTATTTATGTTATGAGTCCCACGTAATAGGGGGTGAGTCTATTGCCATATACGGGGTACAATTCCAGAATCCGTGCTACTATTGAGAATTTAAAAAAAAGCCTAGTAATACTTTGCCCGACCCGGCAATCGAACCCGTGACCTCTTGCCTGGCAGTCGCACTTGCGACCACTCGGCCAACGAGGAATGCGAGCATAAATATTGGTAATGAGTCTACGTTTGGCCACTATCTCGCCTGATAGCGATGATGCGGTCTACGATGGAGCACCCAAAAGCTAACTATTCACTTGAGACTTGAAAACACTCTTCAGGAAACACATACTCTGGCCACGATTCTACTCAAAAGTCAAGTCAAAATCATTCATTCATTTCAATTAGACCAGGAAGGCACTTTTGAATGTCAACAAAAAATTTAAAAGTGATCCTATTTGCTCATTCCAAGGTGTACATTACTAAAGAGAAGAACGAGCAAGAAACTCCATAGGTTACTCTTTTCCAATCAGGTTCAAAATACAATTCTCTAGTTACATAGTTTAAATTTTACAATACACAAACAACATTACAAAACAAATTGGGATCCATTGGTATCGGGAACACTGTCCAAGCTACCGGTGCGGTGTATAGGGATCTAGAGACAGAAAACTCACTACGCGCCATGTTAAGAACAACTGCTTTCTTTATGATGCTTGATCTGAAGAATGTTGTAAGTGGCAACACCGAGGCGAGCGCCAACGCCAGCCACTGAGCTGCGCGACGTCGCCGCGACCGCGCACGCTGCTCATGAGGAAGAACCTCTCTGTAGTTCGAAACTAGTAGAGCTTTTCTCAGTATATACACGTGAGTAACTCGCGATTTTAGTTAATTTATTGTCAAGGCTATTGGGAATCGACCAATTGACCAACACACATAAGTGTCACAATAATAGAAGAGTCCACATTCTCGTGGTCTTAGTACGAATATGTTTTACGTTTAACGATATTTAAACGTTCGCGCATTTGGAGTATTCATTGGCCTGCTTCAATGAAGCATCCATTCAGAAGGATGACCGCGGCAATATTTCGATTCACACATCACATCAACAGCCTATAAGTGGCCACTGCTGACCGAAGGCCTCGTCTCACATGGAGAAGATTTGAGCATTAATCACCATGCTAACACAACGCGGGTTGGCGACTTCAAACTTATAATTAGAAATCATAAGCCCAGGTTTCCTCACGATGTTTTCCTTCACCGTTTGTCAGTGGTGTGTAAATAATCTTAGAAAGTATATATAACTCGGAAGTAGTCACATTGGTACTTGTCGTTGGTACTAGGTTTCGATAACCCGTGCCCTCAAGCATGAGAAGCGGGCGTCTTTAACCTCTAGGCCACCACGACATTTCGATTTCGTTAGACGTAAAACAAATTCGTACTCAGCCCCGTAACATATTTTATTTATCTTTATCCGGTTTCTACGTTCTCATCAGATATATGTATCCTTACTAATATTATAAATCGGAAAGTGAGTTTATTTGTTTTTTGCCCGCTTTCACGCCGTAACCACTAAACCGATTGCTTTGATTTTTTACAGAGGTAAAGTTAGAAGTCCGGATTAAATAATAGGGTACTTTTTATCCCGGAAAAATGTGACATTTCCGAGGGAAAACAAAAGTGTTGGTATAGATGGCGCTTTGCGTAACGGTATATGTCACATAGGCTACTTTTTATCCTTTTGTGACGCGAGCGAAGCCGCGGGTAAAAGCTAGTTACTAATAAAGTGAATTAAATGGCATAAACAAACGACCCGTAAGGAGGTGAAGTGCTGGATGCAAGTAGCGTGTTGTCGTTCGGTGAACTAAGGGGGATGTCTGTTCAGTGGCTTTCCAGCTTTTTCCAATGGATTGGACGCACACGGCTCACCTGATGGTAAGTAATGAGCGCTGCCAATGGATATTGGACGTTGCCGTCCTCTTTGGGAATTGGGAAAAGGGTGGTGGGAGGATAGGGACTCAAGATTCGGGATACCTCATTCATAGAACGCTGTGGTAGTGTCACACAGGCCCAGCAGTGCTTTAGTTTGGTTTTCTCACGTGTAAAATGGTGATTAAAGTGCAAAAATATGGATACACGGTTATGTCAAGTGCAATATTTATTTTTTTGGTTGGTAAGGGTTTAAGTGCGGTATGAATATTTTATTTGTAGGTGAAGTTGAGGTCTAGCGTATCACCCTGTTACCTTAGTCGACGTCGTGTGCGCGAAGTCAACCAGGCATTATATTCCGACCGCCTTATCATCCAATACAGCGTGGAAGCAAAATATTTCGTACAACGCATTTATAAATTTATGTATGTAGCTTTTTGACACTCATTCTTCTATAATACTGATAAACAGAGAACTTAGTACGAGTTTGTTTCACTTTTACAATATTCCAAACGAGTACGCATTCGGCAGTCTGATTGGCCGGCGCCAATGAACCAACCAATCAGAGCGCCGAACGCGTACTTGTTACGATTACTCGTAAAACAAAGTCGTACTAAGGCCTCGGAACTTTTTATGCCCGAATACTGAAAGGCTACACAATTCAAAGTTATACTTAAATATCGTACCATCTCTGCGAATTTACAAATAATTTGTAGGGACAGAATTATGCTTAAGCGGGACTTAAAATTGCGCGCAGATTCAGTATATGGGCATTAGTACATAATTATGTTAAGTTTAACTAAGTTAAAAATCTTTTGAAATTATATTTACAGAGTTTTTGAACAAAAATATAACTCTAGAGAGTTGTAAAGGGCAGATGGCAATTTTTGTTGCACCACCGAAGGATTTTCTCCTGTTTCTTCTATCCCCGAAGGGGTAGGCGAGGTGCACATTACGGCACTTAATGCCACTGTACAATGTAACACCCACTTTTCACTATTTATATTATGAGTCCCATGTAATAGGGGGTGAGCCTATTGCCATATATTATGAGTTAAAAATAATAATAATAAAGTAATATAGTACTTACGTCAGTAAAGGTTGGTGTGTATGCGGAGCCGCCATGGTGGGCAGGCCGAGTGGCTGGATGTCCGCGCGGTTGTGTCTTACTCCCAGAGTCACCTGTATACAAATAAATTATATCATTCAATCTTATACTCTTATATTATCTATATCTATACATATAATAAAATCGTAGAAAAGTCAAAACTTTACTTTGAATATTTATTTAAAAGCAATTTTTTGGGGCGTGGTTTTGTCTGTATGTATTTCCGGGATGATCTCAAAAAGTACTGCATGAATTTACCTCAAATTTTGTAATATTATTACTAACAGTTCGGGCTATCACCTACGGGATAGCGCAGTGAATCACTATTCCACGCGAACGAAGTCACGGGCACAGCTAGTTATATGTATAAAGTTGAAGAGGGGAAGGGAGCCTCCGGTTACCTCACTCACACGACGAAACACAATCATATTAGTATACGATTATCTTTCATCGTGTAAGGGAGGAAGTACGTTTTAGTAAACATGCTCCTAAGTTATTACACTTGCTTTTATAAAAAGCATAACAATATCGGTTCGCAATATCTTCGCGGTAAAACATACATACATACCCACGACATAAAGGACACACGTTTTTTGAAGTCGGTTAAAAATAGGTATATATAACTTACATGTCCCCTAGACGCCGCCTGACAGACGTACGAGACGGCGCGGGTGTGGGTGGCCCCGGCCAGCGACACGCCGTCCACCGACGTCAGCAGGTCGCCTGGACGGAGCAGCCCGTCTGCTGGACCTCCTGCACGATACAAGGCCTTAGTATTCATGTTAGGTTGTAGAACAAGAGCAACAAGGTACCAGAGCTCCAGCTTGAAGCAGGAATAGGAACAGGGTGGCTTTTAAACAGTTTTAATAACTTGACGACAGATCGATTTGATACATGGTACACATTTTTAATCTTGATGACCATATAATATAATCTATTTTTTTTCCATATTACCTTTATTATGGATATCAATCGTGAAGTCTTCATTAGTAAAATAGAGTTCATTATTAAAACTGACCAAAAAAATATGTATAGTTAGTAAGTCTCACATTCCTCTCACCACACCCAGGATGAGGTTATAAAAAAGAGGGGTTGAAGCCAGTATTTATGAGTATAAAATAATAACAATATGAAGTCGGTTCAAACAAAGCAGACGTAGTACTGACCGGGCACGACGTACCCGACGGCGACCCGGCTGCCGTCCTCGGTGCCGCCGACGATGCGGAAGCCGAAGCCGGCCGCGGCGCGCGCCAGCCGCACCAGCACGTCGGCCGCCGGGTCCGACTCCGCGCCGCCCGCCTCCACCTGCCACGGACGGACGTCATGAACAACCAACTCTGGGGACTTACTCTTCAATGCAATTCCGAATCGACTGACATTGATTTTGTGCAATTTCGTACTGTTGTAACACTAGCGCCCATTGCATCGGTATTGCGTGGATATTTAATGAACTAAATGGTATCGAGTTCGGTTTTATTTTACATTACATAACATAACATGACATCACGCCTTATATCCCCGAAGGGGTAGGCCCACTTTTCACTATTTGTTATGAGTCCCATGTAATAGGGGGTGAGCCTATTGCCATATACCAGGTACAATTCCAGACTCCGTGCTACTACTTAGAACATTTAAAAACCCAGTAATACTTTGCCCGACCCGAGAATCGTTACCGAGACCCCTTGCCCGGCTTTGTAGATAAATTGATTTGAAATATCGTGCAATATCACGATTTACTACAATATACAGGGTACCGTGTCGTACCGATCCTGAACCTTACCTGTGGGTAGTTAGCGACGTACAGCGTGTTGGGTTGTACATCGTTCTCGTAGCAAGATGGCGACTGCCGCGACACAGGGGAGTGCATGTGGCGGGACGGAGAGGATTCGCGGAGCCTAAAACAGATTATTTCCTTTAAAACGTCTGAAATGTCCAACAAATAGATTAAAAATCTCGAGAGAGTTAGTTGCTTGTAGGTATGCTTCACTCAGCAGTATGGTCAGCCACGGCCGATTTGAAAAATTCTTTTTGGGTTGGTCGGCTAAACAATCAGAGGGTTTAGTAACTTACTTTTTTTTAACGGAGGAAATCATCGAATGACACCTCCCGCCTGGGTGAGGCGGGAGGGAGTGTCAGACTCTTACTGACTAAAAACCACCCCGTTCTTACTCCTGCCCTTCGAGCCGGAGCCCCGGTAACCCGTTAGGTTCTCCGCGACAGGATTATCTTCTTTGTCGCGGGTGCATTTACAAACATACAAGTTCACATACACATAACACTCAATTCGGAATGTATGTGGATCATATTTTGGAGGTTGCTTAGTGCGGGAATCGTACCATGACGAGTTTTATAATTGCATCTTAAATTGTGTTTCATTCACATTATGTATTACATCTATACATTATTCTGGATCACAACTTTTCACACAAATATTTTTTTATTTACACATTTTATTTATAGAATTTGTTTTATTTACACAATTTCATATTTATTTTCTTTTCCTTATTGAGCGTCGCTACCGCCGTTCGTGAATCACTGCAGGGTGCCACCTGAAAACCAGCGTTGGGTATGGACGCTAAACTATATCCTGAGATAGAGGCTTATTTGGCATCTTATTTATTTATTTTTAATTTCTGTTATTATTGTATTGTACAAATTTTGTTGGTATTTTCTTTACTCTTTATAGTGTATTATTAATATTTTGTATTACATAAATAAGTATCTTTATTTTTATAATGTTTGTTTATGTGTACCTACTTGCTAAATAAATACTTTAATCTTTCTTTCCTTCAACCAGCTACACGTTCGTGCAGTCATTTATAATATTGTTACGTAAGAATACCTGAGTGGAGACGATTTGATTCTACTGTTGGATGAGTTGTTGGAAGGGGACTGGCTCTGCAGGCGGGTGGACGGAGACTGCGACAGGAGATGGTCGGTCGCGCTCGTGGCAGACGGGGACTGACTGCGGAGCCGACCTGGGAACATAAATAAATAAAAATTAAATGCTTTCAAAAGAAGAAGGAGGTTATCAGTTTGACCTGAATGTATGTATGTTTGTTTGCGAATATCTCGCGATTGGCTGAACCAGAGTCAAAATCGGTCCAGTCATTTCGGAGATAAGCCAGAATAAACAGACAGACTGACAAAAATTGTACAACATACCAGTTGAGTTAGAAGGAGAAAGTGGTCGTATCCTGCTGGTCGACGGAGACTGTCTAGTAAGACCGCCGATGGCCGCAGTCGTCGGCGAATGTAGCATACCATCTTCCGGGAACCCTAGATCAAATACAATGAGATTGGTTCAAACTTTTCATAGAAATTGTTCATTTTAGAGGCCACCACCAAAACTGTACAAGCTTATCGAAAAATAACCCTGATTCGCCCGAATACTGAAAGTCTAATCTATTTGAAGTTCTACTTTAATATCGTGCGACAGAGATCTGTCATTTTACAAAGAATTTGTAGCGACAGAACAATAAATAAGAAACTTTTTTATTTTATTTATTTTAGTACATTTTGTAATTTATAAAATGCGTCAATCGTGTCTTTGCATTGTTCTCACATATACGTACAGTATTGGAATATGTATCAGAGACATTGTAGAACATACTTTTTTAAAAAGAGTAACGAATGGAGTTTTTTTCTCGTTCTTCTCCATTCGAATCTACATTTTGGAATATGCATTTAGCTTCACCTAGCTTCACTGACGGACTGACTGACAGACTATTATTTATTTTGTATTTGTTGACGTTTCAAAAGCACCATGGTTTAATTGAAAGAAATGCTTTTGTAATGCTTCTGGTGTGTCCATGGGCAACGTCGATTGCTTACCATCAGGTGATCCGTATGCTCGTTTACCGGTTACCCCCAAAAAAACCATGAAAAATATATTATCGTCTTACCTCCATTATCACTACTATCTGCTACACTGGCGTTTCCTCTCCAGTAGGCAGCATTCATGTCGACATGTACGGTAGGAGTGGGCACCTCCCCCCAATTACCATTCCCCCACCTTTCATTATTCTCCCACCGATTGCCATTTGTACTCTCATCCCACTTCTGACCATTTTCAACCCACTTCTGTCCATTCTCAACCCACTTCTGACCGTTCTCTACCCATTTTTGTCCATTCTCATCCCATTTTTGTCCGTTCTGTTCCCATTTTTGTCCGTTTTCGTCCCATTTTTGTCCGTTTTCATCCCATTTTTGGGCGTTTTCGGCCCAGTTTCTGATGTTAGAGTTGTCAACCCATGTTTCTCGTTCTTGCCATTGGTTGTCGGGTTGTGGTTCGTTCCAAGGAGTGACTACAGGGAGTGTGAGACGTCCTCCAGGCGTACTGCTCCTACGTCTGCGGTCTATAAGGCTTTCTCGTTCACGGTTTTTGTGTTCAGGCACTGCGTATGTTGCTTCTGTTGAAGGAAAAAAAACAATATTAAAATTGCACATTGAGTGAATAATAAATAGATTGAAATTCTTTCTTTTTTTACCCGACTGCCAAAGAAGGAGGGTAATGTTTTTCGAGTGTATGTAAGTATGTATGTATGTCTTTTCCTTTGTGACCACCTGTAGCCTAAACGGCTTGATGGATTTTGATGTATGAGGTATCGTTAGATTTGTCTTGATTACGGGAGTGTCATAGGATACATTTTATCCTAAAAGTCCCACGGGATAAAGACATAATAATATTTTTTCTAAATTTCCCTTTAAAAAAATATGTATGCGGTATCATTAGATTCATTTCAATCACGGGAGTAATTAATATAGGATACGTTTTTTCTCAAAATTCCCACGGGAACATGTTAATTCTGCGTCAACGCAAAGCAACTCATGCGTTAGCAAGCAAAAAGATAGGGCGTGGCCTGGCATGCGGCGCGCGGCGCGGTGCGGAGGGGGATATGCTCGAGTATACAGCCCGATTGCGGGCACACGCATGAGGGCACACGTCGTTGACGGTCGTCTCTAAATAGCGATTTTATTCGATATATCCCTATTTGTATATATCGAAATAAAAACAGCTAAAAAGTTATAAATAAAAAAATTATTATTAAAAAAACAAAATACCCGACTGCACACTAAAAAAAGAGTAAAACAAGCCCCACAATAATATTGATCAATCAAATGCTAAAAACTAATTATGTAATACCGTTTAAACAATACCTATATTAAAATACACTACAATATGTGTTCGTAATCGATAGTTAAATAAACAGAAACTTATTTTGAATACAAATTTACTGAATATAATTTATAAATGTTGATGGAATGCATCGCAGGCGGGGACCAACAGAGGCTTATTTATAGTCATTTCGGTTGTGCACCATTTAGCAGAATTTTCGTTGGTGGCGGTCAAGGTGGTCCCCGCCTGCGATGCTTTCCATCAACATTTATAAATTATATTCAGTAAATTTGTATTCAAAATAAGTTTCTGTTTATTTAACTATCGATTACGAACACATATTGTAGTGTATTTTAATATAGGTATTGTTTAAACGGTATTACATAATTAGTTTTTAGCATTTGATTGATCAATATTATTGTGGGGCTTGTTTTACTCTTTTTTTAGTGTGCAGTCGGGTATTTTGTTTTTTTAATAATAATTTTTTTATTTATAACTTTTTAGCTGTTTTTATTTCGATATATACAAATAGGGATATATCGAATAAAATCGCTATTTAGAGACGACCGTCAACGACGTGTGCCCTCATGCGTGTGCCCGCAATCGGGCTGTATACTCGAGCATATCCCCCTCCGCACCGCGCCGCGCGCCGCATGCCAGGCCACGCCCTATCTTTTTGCTTGCTAACGCATGAGTTGCTTTGCGTTGACGCAGAATTAACATGTTCCCGTGGGAATTTTGAGAAAAAACGTATCCTATATTAATTACTCCCGTGATTGAAATGAATCTAATGATACCGCATACATATTTTTTTAAAGGGAAATTTAGAAAAAATATTATTATGTCTTTATCCCGTGGGACTTTTAGGATAAAATGTATCCTATGACACTCCCGTAATCAAGACAAATCTAACGATACCTCATACATCAAAATCCATCAAGCCGTTTAGGCTACAGGTGGTCACAAAGGAAAAGACATACATACATACTTACATACACTCGAAAAACATTACCCTCCTTCTTTGGCAGTCGGGTAAAAA